AAGCATTGAACGACCGAAGATGTTCCGAAACAAACAAAAGGAATATTGGCTAATGCTCGGCTGACTTCGTTGTGAGCTAAGAGGTCGTTCGTATTTTCTTCTTACACTCACTCAATCAACAGGGCAACACTGTGGCTTCGCCTCCATTGGAGGCAGTGGCCATAAATACCAAAGTTACGAATTAACATCTTCACTTTTTGTGGTCTATATCAATCTTCAGTGACAAAAGATGGTGTAATGCCTTTTCTAGTTCGTTCAAAGACCATTCACGGTGGTCTGTTTAATAACTAGTTCATCGATTCATTTGAATTCCATGTCCTGTCAAAATTCTGGTCAAAACCTAACCACAACCATTCGAGAACAAAAGGCACTGTAGTGTATTGAACACATAGTAAATGTACTTGTACTAACGTTAGTTATATTACTGTAAGATTACTGAATGATGTGAAAGTACTGTAATCAAGTAAGATTATTGTACCAGCTTATAAGATACTTGATTAATGAATAAATACAGAATAGAGAAAGCAATTGAAGAGTGTGTGTCTCCACTAAATGAGTACACAACAGGCACATTTTCAAAACCATAAAGGCCGGGAATTCATGACGCAAAACAAAATGGTTCACGAATCACGTTTAATTCAGCCCTTCATTCACGAGTCACGCTAAAACTAGCTCACGTGGGCATGAAAAGATTTGATTATCTTCAATCGCGATACACGAATAAGGAAAAACTCAAATCACGATTCGCCTCCTGAAACCGCGAACCAATGAGAAGACGGGACCTCCTGGTGTCAGTGACAATGCATCAAGATTTTCCCGGGAAAAGCATCGCACAGCAGTCACGTTTTTTTTATCTCGCTCTGTTTAACGTTGAGTAATGAGCAAATTGGCAAAGAAAAGACCTGCGGCAAAAAAGGTAAAGCTGGAGAAACTGCTGGAAAGCAAAACAGCTAATCGACAGACAGCTTAAGTAATACCCTTATGCTGAAATGAGTTCCCTCGGGTAGGTTTATTCATGAGTTCATACGATTCGAGGCGATTGGCTATGTTCTGTCAGTCAAGACCGGTCAGTTGCTTATCGAAAGGAAACCTCGTTGTTAACCTTATTTACGGCAAATATAGATTTGATGTCGACTTCTTTGTTTGTAATTTGGATGCCAGCGTGGAGAGGAGTGCCAGGATCTGGTTTTTTCCATGACAAAACGATGTCTGGCATTTCTCTCCTCTTTGGGTCTGTTTTTTTTCCTTCTCTTTGCCAAGGGACTCCTCTCTAATTTTGACTCCTGTTTTTTATCCATGAGGAAAGACCTTAAACTAGTAGAGAACTTCCACGTGTAAATTTTGTCAAGTGCGCGATGTAAACAAAATATGCAAATAACATGAAATTCCCGAAAACATTCACCTAAGGGGTTCGCCCACTAACGAGATTATGACACCCTCCTCATTTATGAACTTTTATTTGAAAACATATTTTCCTAAATAAGTCGGACGCCTTTTGAGATTTTAAAATTTTGCTTTTTGTAAACGTTAGGTAAAATGTCCAACTTCAATCTAGTTCAATAAAAGAGAAAACGAATTTTTCGGCCTCTGATGGTGGGAAGTAATCTTAAGTCCCTAATGGCAATCTGGGAATGACAAAACAATTCAGTCCCACAAGTTAGGTGAGAAAAAGATTGGAAAAAAGATAAGCAACACAAAGTAACATCACATATTAATGATTTTTAAAGCGGAGTATTACATTCGTGGTCAGTTTTACTGCAGTGGAAATTGTCGATCAGTGAGGGGTGCGAAGAGAGATTTGTTGTGCTGAGTACGCAAGACTATTGCCAGACTTGCGCACACCCTGGCAATCTCTTCAGGTTTACTTAAAATTTTTGTCTCAAAATCATCGACACCAAGATACCTTACTCTCTGCATGAACTGAAAGTAATGCTTACAATACTAAAGGCAAGGACGTTAGAGGTGGCACATCGACCAAAAAATTACTATCCTCATATTTCAGTCATAGATGTCTCATCGTGAACTTAGAAACGTGGTTAGTTTTTTATTTTCCAGGCTTGTCTCTTTATCGTAGAAAATTCACCAAAAGTGAAACGGGCGTCGGTGGCCGTGAAATGGCGGAAATCAGTGCTCCGAGTAGAGGCAAATAAACGTTACTCATGAAAAGCGCAAAGAAAAGCAAGCTCGTATCACTGAGATAAATTTGTATAGGAAGGATTGAGGTATGGTTTCAGGGACATCTCATTCAATTTGGAGCTCACAGGACGCTCTTGAAAATCACTAATATTTCAAAATCCACATGTAGCATTTCGTAGCAAATTTCCAATTATTATTTTCCCCATGTAGTATAACTCAGAATCAGTTTCAGGTCTAGCTCGGGATAAATGGAAATAGTGTTGTTTTCGAGGATTGAAAAATTAGTTTGGGGTTTTTCATTTCTGCAAGGAAAAACCAGGCTGAAATTTATGAAAAATGCAGCGTCGTCAATATACGTCACGACAAGATCTAATTAGGCATTCCGCGGTTAAATCTGGAATTCTAAGCGCGTTAGCAGTTACCACCGTGTTCGATCAGGAAATCGATACAGAAAGCTAACCTTGTTTAGCTAACGATAGTATATTTCTTTTTATCCCTGCTTTTGATCCAAATTCTCAACCATTTCCAAAGGCGAAATTGTTTACAATCACATTCCATAAGCTAGCAGAGGGCGTCTGTTTTTCTTTGCGCATTCGAACGCATTTAAGTTAAAAGAAATTTCTGGGAAAAATTTAGCTTTATTGTGACTTGAAAGTGGACACTTCAAACATTTAAACCAGTACGTCAAATATTCTTTACCGCTGAAGACGGAAAGCATCACTGATACCATTGATTTAAACATTTAAGCTTCAAAACCTCGACCTTGTAGACCCTATTTTCTATGCCATTCGCTCTAAGCATGGTTAATAGAGAGACTAGCCTGGTGTGAGGTTTATGGCGCGTCATTAGATGAATCGCCGGCGCGAATATGCCCCCTCACTCCCCTCTCACATGAGGCATTTGAAACATATGAGGCATATGAAACACATGAGGGATTTCGAAAGCATACCGTGAAATCCAATTGAGTTCAAATGGCTATACCTCAATCCCTCCTATACAATTTTTTTCAAATTGATACGGCCTTGCTTTCTTTTGCGCTTTCTATGAGCAAAGTTCATTTGCCTTTACTCGGGCACTGATTTCCGCCATTTCTCGACTACCGAAGCTCGATACAGTTTTCGTGAATTTTCCGGAATAAAGAAGCAAATCTGGAAAAAAAGAAAAACCGTACCATGCTTCTGAGTTTACTATAACGAATCTCTGGACAAAATATGAAGGTTTTCAATTTTATGACCATGGGCCACATCAGAGTTCTCATAGATTTTTTTCAGTCGTTACTGTGCTACGTTCACGCGTAATACTAAAATAAATGACCAAATGTCATCTTGAACCCATTTCGCTTCGCAGCGTCCATGTTTTAGCATGAGTGTTGTAGAACGACATCTGCGAGAGGCCTGGGCCACAATTTACTTTATGGCGGCCATATTTCAACGTTGCAAAGACGTTACCAAGACGTTGCCAAGCATGGTGATTATTCGGTCATCCTGCTGACAGGCTATTCATTTCGAAAACTAAAACGGACTAACTGTCAATACTAAACTCAGTTACCTCCTCTAAATGTCCTTCTTTTATTTACAATGAATAGACAAATTGATCTTCTACTCGAAGCGCTTTGACAGCCGCAACACTTCCCATTGACACCTGTGACAGGTGTTACGGGTTACAGCTTCAATTGAAAACCCTGCACATTTTCGATTTTTACTAAGTCAACTCAGAAATTCGCTGTTAAGATCTTGAAACGGCGCGAGTCACTTCCATACTAAGATATAACCAGGGTCATCTTGTTTAACTATTTTTTCTTTTTTTTCGAAAAAGCCAAAGTAATTTAGAAATGATTCTCGCAGATTAGCCGTGATTACAGAAACTGTGAGAAACAACCCAAAAAAATCCAGGTTTCGACGGGATTCTTGGCCAGATACCAGTTGCCTCTCTAGATACTAGTTGGGCGTCACTACCAACTGATTTACAGCGCCACATGTTGAAAGCAAAACAAATAACCGCATAACCGCAGTTCTATACCAGAATGGGATCTGCTCGCAATTCAATCAAATCAATCAATACATTCATTGAGATCAAATTGAAAATACTACCCGTCCTTTTTTTCGACAGTTGAAACCAACAAACGTAAATATGTCCAGAAAAAAGCGTGTCTGTGTGATTGGCGCAGGTCCCAGTGGTACGTCAGTGTTGTATCACTTCAATAAACTGAAAGAACATGGCAAAGAAATTCCTGACACTGTGTGCTTCGACAAGCAGTCGGACTGGGGAGGGCTCTGGAAATACTCATGGGAAACTGGTTAGTAGTTTTCACTACTACCAAGAGAATATCAGTTGATATTCGCTTGGTGGCGCGTAGACACACTCTTCGAATCATCCCATCTTGTGTTGTCTGTCACATGAGGAGTTGAATTTGATTAGTAGTGTCAATAACGCTTAGTAGTGAAGATGAGGTTTTGCTGCTCAGAAGAAGAGCCAATTGTGTAATCTGTTCTTAGCGTTTTCTTCTTTAGCACGCAACGTCGAGAGATCGCACCAAAAAGGGCGCGACGAAAGTCGTGAGAAAAAAACCGTAGAGAGGAGCAATGCTTCTTAGATATAAGTGAACGCAGAGTACAAGAAACCATATTTTTTTCCACATTTCTGAATCGAATAAAAAGGCTGGCTTGACAGTCCACTTGGTTTATATGCATTCTGAGAAAAAAAATGTTCAAGAAAACAGTATGATTTGAAAGAAAAGTACATACACCCAAAGCAATAATTTGATTCTCTTTTCTTTTTTAAGGTATCGACTAGTTTGGCGAACCCGTCCATGATAGTATGCACCGAGGCCTCTGGTCTAATGGTCCAAAGGAAGCTTCAGAGTATCCGGACTACACCTTCGAAGATAATTTCAAAAAGACAATTCCATCCTTCCAACCCAGAGAGGTTCTCTATGATTATCTCAAAGGTAGGACATCTCCTCACCTTAACAGCTCTAACCTCCTTGTTAGCTCTCCTCCCGCTTTCAAAAACTTCGTTTAAACTGTTGTGACTGGTTTTCCGAACTCCGTGATGAAAAGGACATTAAACATATCTATCTCTTAGGGGCAAAAGTAGCTGTAGACGAACTACGGTTAGCTTAACAAATTTAGCTTAACAAATTTACAAATTTCGTCCAAAGAGGGAACGTTCGACACAGACAAGTGTCCACTCGCTACAATAAGGCAGTCATACTTCTGAACAGGGAGCTGTTTGTCCTCGACAAGGCTTTTGACAACTACTGAAAAGTCATCAGTATCGTCGTTGTCGGTCACCTGGCGGACGACATGGTTGAAACGGATCCAGTGTTGAAGATTTCCTTTGGTCCAACGACCTGATCAAAAATTTAAGTGGAACATTATTCATTTACGTGCCAGTAGTTCCTGGACGTGTGATGCACGCACACGACTTTCGAAATGCTTATCAGTTCCAAGGTCAGACGCTCCTCATAGTTGGCTCCAGCTCTTCCGCTGAGGATATCGCCATCCAGAACCTCAAATGTGGTGCGAAGAAGATCATTTGTTGGTACAGGACTAAGCCGATGGGATTAAAGTGGCCCCCTGAGATCGCCGAGAGACCCCTGCTAGGCAAAATTGAAGGCAAATCCGTCCACTTCAGGGATGGTACGACTGCCGATGTGGACGCCATCATGTTGTGCACCGGCTACCTCTTCCACTTTCCATTCCTTGAGGAGCGTCTTCGACTGAGGGCCAACAATATTTTGTATCCTGCTGGCATGTACAAGAAGGTGCTGTGGACCGAGACTCGCAACAACAAGTTTTTTTACCTCGGAATGCAGAACCAGTACTGCACCCTCACTATCTTCGACGCACAAGCCAATTGGGCCGTCAATTGCATCACAGGGGAGCTAAGACTCCCTGACAAGGAAGCCATGAGGATGCACAAAGACAAATGGATCGCAAAGTGATAAGTCATAGAGAAATTTTTCCTATATTATCGAACGGCTTCTCTAGAAGTCCTTCCTAATATTGCTCCCCTACGCTCTTTAACTGATCTTGGAAAAAAACCGTCGTCATCCCAACTAATCAGAGGAGACTTCAATCAACAATCAAGCACAACTCGATAAATCAGATTCAAAGCTTAAGCCCCAATCGTTCATCTGTCATGCGCGTTTTCCCATTTAGCCCAGTTTACTTTTTTTTTTATTTGAGTCTCATTCGCTACTAGTTCCTTTTTTCCTTTTATTGCAACGTTACCACAAACACACTCAATCGAATGCACTCAAAGGGAACTCACCTCCATACGTTGAAAACAGCTTCGTTGCTGTCGAAAGGGAAACCAAAACGTGATAATTGATAATTCTGGGTCATGGTATTAAAACTACCTTTTCCTTTCGTTAGGAGTTGTAAGCTTCAAATGAGTGCAGCAAAAAATTTGACCTCATAACGGATCAGTAACAGGAAATGTTACTATTTGTTTTTCTTCATTATTTCAGGATGAATAAACTGAAGGACAGTCACAATGATGTAAATTTCCAGACCGAATACGTGGTCGACATCGCCAAGAATGCAAACTACGGATATGACCTGGATTCCTCCCAACAGCTGCATGACTGGCAACATCACAGACATAGACGTGTTTGCGTTAGCTGACCATGAGTGTTTCCACAATGTATCCGTTTATTTTGCAAAAAGGGGGAAACTGGTTGGCCCTCACCGAAGTACTTGGCGAGCACCAAGGAACTAATTAAACGCTAACAGCTGCGCACAAGAACTCCGCACACAAACAGGAACTTCACTGTGGGTAGAACTCAAGGTCAGCTTTACCAATGCAAACACGCGTACGACCACCTGTGAAACTGTCTAATTGTCTAAATGTCTAACACGGTAACAAGGAAATCCGTGAGCTGAGCCAAAAAAAAAACATAAATCTACCAAAACAACACGTAGGCACAACAGGCAAGGATTAACAAAGCAAAAGTCTTAACCAGAAAAGTCTAAAAACAACAACTTTCAATTCACCCCACAACACTACGTATAATTAAAACAAATTCTTAAGAAACTGTTGTATTGAATATTTCGATTTCAAGCTTAAAGTAGTAGGTTCTGAAATATAGCTTCATTCGTTTAATAGTTCAATGATACAATAAAGTCAAAGTGAATATTATTGTAGAGAAGAATGCCGTTGGGGCTTTTGGGCTGAGACCCGACAACTCCTAACAAAAAGGGAGAGAATGCGATAAAAAAAAATCGTAGTGACTAAACCGGTTACAACGAACTTAATTTTTTTCTCGAAAGTAATCCCTGTTTTCCTAGAAAGAGATCCTTAGCCATCTTTCTATTATGGTGGAGAATTTTAGTGGCGGGTCAGACAGTTACGGACAAACTAGCACGTTAGATCTTCACTCCCAAGCTAGCCTGGGCAAGGTCGTCCTGGTTTACGATCTATAAAAAGATATCGAAAATGGTATTAACTGTTTGGTAATAAGTTCAAACTCCTCGGTTATTACCTGAAGTGGGACGTGGTTCAAAACCGTTGATAGATAGATACCTTTATCATCCAACTTGCACGATTTGAAAAAACAAATTCGAATTAATTTGGTGTCCGTTTCCTGGTGACGAAAAGGAATGAAAAGGTACATTAAAGAAGGACTGGGATGCAGAAATACTGTCAAAGTCGGGTTGATAGATAATAATAATAAACTTTCATCGGGTGCCAATTACCAGCACACTATCACGCTCGATTATGATAACAGTAGGCGCATCAAGGAACTATTTCAAACTTTTTCACGAGCTCAGTTAGACAATCAAATCGATTTATTCTTGGAAAGGATCCATAAAAAGTAAACTCAGCATCACTAAACAAAAGCATTCTTCTTGAAAATATATTTAAACCACTCCCTTTCTTATTTATGTTAAGTCGTAAACATTTTTCACCTGACCTACAACAAATATAACACTGTTCACAAGCCCGCTAATTTCTTGGGGAGGAGGGAAGAGAAACACAGGTCCTGTTTCTATCAGAAGTTGTTCAGATGTTCCTAGTATACAGGATGCCTTTGTACACTCAACTTTATATTTTCAAAACACTATTAAATGTTACTGAATGACAACATAACCAGAGTAATGAAGGGAAACCGGAGACAGTTCTTAAAGAAACGCAAGCTTTGCGGATTTAGCATCCTTCCGTTTCTCGATCGCCTTTCTAGTTTTTGGCCTCCTCAATTCATTTCCGTTCAGATCAATATTCTCTGCTTTTTTAGGGTTAGAGAGATTCTCATTCTATTATTACGGTGTACATGGAAGGTTTCGCAGGTTTTGCTATTTGATTAACCATAGGGCCCTCTTTTTCATTTGCTGCGCGCTTCGCTTCTCTATCTGCGACGCTTTTCCCACTTTAAGAAATGCGCATGAAATAAAATAGTTGGATAATAAATAACTTATCAGACGTTTTGTTGTGTAGTATCCCAGATTATCTGTAATCATTGTTTGTATTTTGACAGGCCCTACGGGCTGGTTAAAATATAACACAACTCTTAAAAATACTCCTTGATATTTAACACCAAAACGTTCAATAAGTGATATTCTGGTACCTTTCACCACTCTATTTTTGGTTCTGAGTAAATGTCATTCTGTGAGGCAACGAACAGCTATCAAATTCACATTAAAAAATGTAATTTCTGATTCCACTCCAAAAGATAATCAGCACCCGGTGTACAAAAAAATAATTTCACTGACTTTACCACATGGTTAATACAATTAGAAAAGTAAGGAAAAGCTAGGGAGGGGTGGGAGTTTCACTTACAGTTATCTGACAACTAACAAACTGAGTAAAGGAAAGGGGACAGGGGTTTTGCTCTGCCATTCAAAGTAACTTCTACTCTTAAACGAAGACTGCTTTATCTGTCAAATCCACCCTAACCACTATGTTAAACCTCCCTCTATTTTGAAGTTAAGTGGTAAAGAAATGTAGCAACTTCCTGACACAATTAACATGTAAGCCAAAAAAAGATAACCTCTGCATGGGTTGAGTTTTTTTGTTTTATTTTGCAAGCAGAAGTGTTGTCACACTGTACCCCCCCCCCAACCCTAACCCTGACCTCCCCCTCCTACTCCTTAAGAGCTTTGCAGAACAATAATAGCTTGGACATTGTGAAGTTCCAAGCTACACCAACAACAAAGTAAAAGACCTTACAAACCTCATTATTATATGGAGGCAACTTAAACAAGTTGCAACTAACACAAGTAATCTCAAGGATTCAAAACCAAGGTTAACTTCACAGCTGAACCAGTAGAACACCCTTTCTGGGTCACTAGTGAACTGTACAAGAAAAACTTCAGAGAAACCTTGGTAGATTCCATCTCATGAAACTGACGATTTGTCCAATGAAATGGGTGTTTTAAATGGATGTTGAATTGCGTACCGCTAAATGAGGTGATATTTTTATTTCAGGAATTTTTCATGGGAAAGAGAAAAGAAAAACTTATCAGTTGCAATCTAAACATATCTGATTCACTCCTGGTAACAAAGTCTTCAATTTACTTCTTCCACTTTCTTTTCTTAACCCAGATGCCTTGATAGTTACAGAAAACACCAAACCACAAATCTGTATTCATTTGTATTTCAATTAACCTTTTCACAGAATAATCCGTTATATAATGCAGCTTTAACATCATTTCTTACAGTGGATTGTGTGGTCAGTTAGAAATCACAGTTTCCTTTCTGTCCTCTTAGCGTATGCATAATATTTTTTTAACTTCAACCACCCAGCCAGTGTCTGTGCATAAATAACTTGTCTTTGATCCCCTGGCATTGTTTGCCTCACCAGACATCATTTTTACAGAATCTGAACAAAAAGCTATTCTTGGTATTGCCACGTGGAAACTTTTAAATAAAAATCATATAATTCACGATTGAAGTATAGACTTGACGTTTCCTTACAACATTCGCAATCTGATAATTTGAAGCTGATAATGTTCAGCATTTTAAAACTCAGCTTAAATTGTACCTAAATATTTCATTGTAACTAAGTATTTTATTTTCATTTAGACATATTTTAGGGAGTTTTCACATAGGGATAACCTCCTAACTTCCTTCTCTAGAAGCATCTTTTTGCCTTTCCTTTTCAGTGTATATAATATAGTCTGCTTCTGAAATAAATAAAGTATGTATGAATGTATATAGTATGTATGTCTATAAGGGTTTTTAAGTTAGATTTTATGACTGATTACATATATTTACATTTTCTTCCATATTTTTATCCGGCTCTCTGGCAATTTTAAAGAGAGAAATACGTTAAATTAAATTGACCTTCCAGCCAAGATCTAAATCAAGTTAGTGTCATTAAATAAAGCATATTCTAAATGCTACCTTGTCGATCGCTTGCACTTCTTACCGCTCAAGCTTCGTTTTGTTTTTCTAAAGTATTGAAATGACCATTGGCACCTCCACGATTTTGACCACTTTGAGAGTACTAAATAGTTTTGTTTCGCCGCCTTTTCGTCGCTGTTGCTGTCATGGTTTCCTTTTAAGTCCCTAATAGCAACTTGGGAATGACAAAACAATTCAGTCCCACAAGTTGAGTAACAAAAAGAAAAAGATCGGAAAAACGATAAGCAACGCAAGCTGACATCACATATTAATGATTTTTAAAGCAGAGTATTACATTCGAGGTCAGTTTTACTGCAGTGGGAATTGTCGATCAGTGAGGGGTGCGAAGAAAGATTTGTTGTGCCGAGGACACGAGACTATTGCCAGACTCGAGCACACCCTGGCAATCTCTCCAGGTTTACTTAATATTTTCGTCTCAAAATCATGGACACCAAGATACCTTACTCCCTGCATGAACTGAAAGTAATGCTTACAATACTGAAGGCAAGGACACTCACGTGCGAGAGGTGGCAACTCGACCGAAGAATGACAATCCTCATATTTCAGGCAGAGATGTCTCATAGTGGATGTCTCATAGTGAACTTAGAAACGTGGTAAGGTTGTCTCCAGGCTTGTCTCTTTATCGTAGAAAATTCACGAAAACTGTAACGGGAGTTGATGGGCGTGAAATGGCGGAAATCAGTGCCATGATTAGAGGCAAATGAACTTTGCTCATGAAGAGCGCAAAGGAAAGCGAGCTCGATCGTATCACTGCGGTGATAAATTTGTTTACGAAGGATTAAGGTATGGCTTAAGGGACATTTCATTCAATTTGGAGCTCACGGGACGCTTTTGAAAATCACTAATATTTCAAAATCCGCATATAGCATTTCATAGCAAATTTCCAACTATTATTTTCCCCATGCGGTATAACTCAGAATCGGTTCAGTTCAAGGTCATGATAAATGGAAATAGTGCTGCTTTCGAGGATTAAAACATTAGTTTGGGGTTTTTCATTTCTCAAGAAAACCCTAACAAACGATACATCAAAAGAAAGCTCAATAAATGCAGTTTACGATAATAATATATAATTTAGGCGATATTTCCATTTGGGGAGTGTGAACAGCCAATAAGGCGTGAAACGACCGAGGGTCCTTCTATTGAATTTATCGGGTATCGGATCCCGCAGCACGAGCAAAATGGCTGCACACTCTTTTTTACAACGCATCAGTCAACGAGAGCATGCCAGCTTCTCCAATATTCTGATGGGTTGTCTAAATATCCGCATCTAAAGTTGTAGCAGCGTTCAATATGCGAGACGTGTTGGGTGAATGGACACCACGTGAGAAATACTTCAAATATCAAAATTTCCTGACACACTTTAGTTTGCCATTTAGTATCCCTAGAATTTTTGGAAAAATTTCACGAAAATCGCTCAAATCTACATACCCTATAAATTCGCTCAAAGTGGATGTGTATCTCTCTAAATGAAATGCGAGATTTTAGCTCCTAAAGTTTGTAAACAACTAACGCCACAACAGGATATTATCTCGCCTCTTAAAACTGCGAACCAATGGGAAGGTGTGCAAGGATTGCTTTTTTCTTCCCACAAAATGGTGCCATTTCTTTCTTCTTTAGGCCCTTTTTTTCTTTTTCTTTGCTCATTGACTCCTCTCTATTTTTGATCTATGTTTTTTATCCATGTGAAATGACTTTCCACTAGCAGAGAACTTCCACGTGTGAATGTTGTCAAGTGTGAGATGTAAACAAAATATGCAAATAACATAAAATTGCCGCGTTATTCCCCCAGGGAGTTTGTCCATTTACGAGGTTATGACACCTTCCTGATCTATTAACTTTCATTTGAAAATACATTTTCCAAAAAAAGTCGGACGCTTTTTGAGATTGTTAAGTTATTCTTTTTGTATAAATTAGAAAAAATGTCTCACTTCAATTTAGTCCAATAAAAGAAAAAACGAATTTTTCGGCCTCTGATCATGAAGGTTGGGAAGTAACCTTAGGTTTAAAGACATTTCTAAGGCAAAATTTAGTTTCATTGTGACTTGAAAGAGAGCAAGGCCTAGTTTATACGTCGCGCTACAGTCGAATTTAATTCAAGGTCCCACAAGCAATTAAATTTGACGATAGCGCGACGTCTAAAACGAATTAAATTCGTCTGGTAAACTAAATTCGCCCTAGACGTTTTATCCGTCTTGGTAAGACGAGTAAAATATCGATAACGCGTCTTCAGTTTTAACGTCGCACTTGAGTCGCACTTGCATCGCGTCGAATGAAATGCATACATTTTCTTAATTTATTTTGGCGAGTCTGCAGCGACCCGTGGCGAGCTTTTCGAGTGACACCTTTGACCAGAGGCACTGCATTTGGGAAGAGAATCAAATTCGTGCGTATTAATTTCGACGCATAAAACCAAGCCACGATTTATGTCGTCGGAACGACGAATTGAAATTCGTATGAATTAAATTCAACTGTAGCGCGACGTATAAACCAGGCCCAATTCAAACATTTATACCTGTAGTTCAAATCTGATACTACTGTAGATTTTACATACTCAAGCGTTTATCACGCAGGAAGAAATTGTTTCAATCACAAAAGAAAGTTTTCTTGTAACCTTCTTAAGGTTTTGCGGTCACAAAAAGAACTATTTTAACAAACTTTTTCTTTAGCTAATATAGAGAATATGTTACTTTGTAAGAGTGTTTCACTGAAAAGCCCTGAAAGTAATTTTTACATCCTTAAAAAAGGTTACTATTTCCACTTATTGCTGGTTTGACCTGAACTGATTCTGAGTTATACCGCATGGGGAAATGATTATTGAAAATTTGATGCGATAATTGGATTTTGTAATATGGGTGATTTTCGAAAGCTACCGTGAGATCCAAATGAGTTGAAGTGTTCCGGTTTTAGACTTAAGCTATACTTCAATCTCTCCAATACAATTTTTTCCAAATTAATACGAGTTTCCTTTCTTTTGCGATTTTTATGAGCAAAGTCCATTTGCCTCTACTCGGGCACTGATTTCCGCCATTTCATGACTACCGAGGTTCGTTTCAGTTTTCGTGGATTTTCCAGATGAAAGAGGCAAATCTGGAAAAAAAAATCCTACCACGTTTCTAAGTTCACCATAAAGTATCTGGGAAAAATATGAAGGTTTTCAATTTTATGACAATGTGCCTCATCAGGGTTCTCCTAGGTTTTTTTCAGTCGTTGCTGTGCTACTTTCACGCGTAGTACTAAAATACATGACCAAAGGTCGTGTATCTTGGGCCCATTTCGCTTCGCAACGACCATGTTTTAGCATGTTGAAAGACGACTTCTGCCAGAGGCCTGGGCTAGAATTTACAACTTCGGTATGGTGGCCATATTTCAACGTTGCGGATACGTTGCCAAGAATGGCGATTATTCGGTCATCCTGCTGACAGGCTATTCAATTCGAAACTAAAACCGACTAACAGTTAATACTAAACTCAGTTACGAAGCGCTTTGAAAGCGCAACACTTGCCATTGACAGGTGTGACGGGTTACAGCTTCAATTGAGAACCCTGCACATTTCTCGATTTTCAGTAGGTCTCTTAAATATCTTGAAACGGCGAGTCACTTCCATACTAAGATATAACCAAAGTCATCCTATTTAACCTTTCTTTTCTTTTTTTCAAAAAAAAAAAACCAAAAGGAATTTGGAAATGATCCTCGCAGGTTAGCCGTGATTAAAGAAACTGCAGAAAAGAACCCTAAAAAAATCCAGGCTTCGACGGGATTCTTAGCCAGATACAAGTTGCCTTCCTAGATACTAGTTGAACGTCACTACCATCTGATATACGACACCAGATACTGATTGGGCGTCACTACCAACTGATTTACAGCGCCATCTGTTGAAAGTGAGACAAATGTTAATGAAAACTTCTATACCAGAATGGGATCTGCTCGCAGTTCAATCAAATAAATCAGAACATTCAAATTGAAAATAGTACTTAATAAGCTATCTTTTTTTCGACAGTTGAAACCAACAAACGTAAAGATGTCCAAAGAAAAGCGTGTCTGTGTGATTGGTGCAGGTCCCAGTGGTATGTCAGTGCTTTATCACTTCAATAAATTGAAAGAACAAGGAAAACAAATTCCTGAAATTGTGTGCTTCGACAGGCAGTCGGACTGGGGAGGGCTCTGGAAATACTCCTGGGAAACTGGTAAGTAGTTTTCAGTACCATGAAGAGAATATCAGTTGATATTCTCTTGGTGGCGCGTTGACACACTCTTCGAATCATCCCATATTGTGTTGTCTGTCACACGAGGAGTTGAATTTGATTAGTAATGTCACTGAGGCTTAGTAGTGAAGATGAGGTTTTGCTGCTCAGAGGAGGAGCCAATAGGCCATTTTACAGTTGTGTACTTTGTTACCAAGCCTTTGATTTGGAGTGAGGCTGAAGGTAACCTTGTTGCGTTAGAGACCTGTATCTAGTTAGCATGATAACAAAGTAATTTACATTTGAAATGCAGTAACATCTGTATCATAACAAGGTTACCCTTAGCCTAACTCCTGTTCAAAAGCTTGGCAACCAAGCAAGCAACTGTAAAATGGACTATCGTGTAAGCACGCAGCGTCGAGATCGCACCTAAAAGGGCGCGGGGATAGTCGCGAGAAAAAAACCGTGAAGAGGAGCGATGCATCTGAGCAAAGAGAACGCAAAGTACAAGAAACCATGTTTTTGTTCCACATTTTTGAACCGATTTAAAACGCTGGCTTGATAGTCCACTTGGTTGGTATTCATTCTGAGAAAAAGTTGTTCAAGAAAACAATATGATTTGAAAGAAAAAAATACATACACCCCAATGCAATAATTTGATTCTATTTTTTGTTCGAGGTATCGATCAGTTTGGTGAACCCGTCCATGGAAGTATGTACCAAGGCCTCTGGTCTAATGTTCCGAAGGAAGCTATAGAGTATCCGGACTACACGTTCGAAGATCATTTCAGAAAGGCAATTCCATCCTTCCAACCCAGAGAGGTTCTCTATGATTATCTCAAAGGTAAAAAATCCCCTGACCTCAAACAGCTCTAACTCGCTTGTTAGCTCTCCTCCCGCTTTCAAAAACTTTCTTTAAACTTTTTGACTGGTTTTCCGAATTCCGCGATGAAAATGACATTAAATAGGCCTATCTCTTGAGGGCAAAAGTAGCTGTAGACGAACTACGTTTAGCTTAACAAATTGAAAGACAACTACTGGCACATATCTGAACAATGTTCCCCTTAAACCTTTGATCAGGTCGTTGGACCAAAGGCAATCTTCGACACTGGATCCGTTTCAACCATGTCGTCCGCCAGGTGACCTACGACGACGATACTGACGACTTTTCAGTAGTTGTCAAAAGCCTTGTCGAGGACAAAGACCTTCCTGTTCAGAAGTATGACTACCTTATTGTAGCGAGTGGACACTTTTCTGTGCCGAACGTCCCTTTTTTTCCAGGAATAGAGCAGTTTCCTGGACGTGTGATGCACTCACACGACTTCCGAAATGCTTATCAGTTCCAAGGTCAGACGCTTCTTGTAGCTGGCTCCAGCTCTTCCGCTCAAGATATCGCCATCCAAAACCTCAAATGTGGTGCGAAGAAGATCATTTGTTGCTACAAGACCAGGCCGATGGGATTTAAGTGGCCCCCTGAGATCACTGAGAGACCCCTGCTAACCAAGATCGAAAGCAAAACCGTCCACTTCAGGGATGGTACGACTGCCGATGTGGACGCCATCATTTTGTGCACCGGCTACCTCTTTCACTTTCCATTCCTTGAGGAGCGTCTTCGGCTGAAGGCCAAGAATATCTTGTATCCTGCTGGCATGTACAAGAATGTGCTGTGGACCGAGGCTGGCAACAACAAGTTTTTTTATATCGGAATGCAGAACCAGTACTACACCTTCACTATGTTCGACGCACAAGCCAAGTGGACTGTGAATTGCATCACAGGGGAGCTGAAACTCCCTGACCAGGAAGCCATGAAGAAGGACCTAGAGAAATGGATTGCAAAGTAATAAGTCATAGAGAATTCTTTCCTATATTGTCGTATGGCTTCTCTAGAATTCATTACTAATTTCGCTCTCCTACGCTCCTTGACTGTTGTTGGAAAAAGGCGTCACCCTCTCAACCAATCACGGAGAGACTTCAATAAAGCGCGGCTCGACCAATCAGATTCATCGATTTAACCACAATCATTCATCGTTCCCTCGTGTTTTGTTTACTTTGGCCTAGTTAATTTTTTTTTAACTCGGAGTTTTCATTTCCTGATTGTTCCTTTGATACTTTTATTCTAACGTTACGACAAACACACTCGATGAAAATGCACTCACTTATCTCCATTTCTGAAAAACAGCTTCGTTGTTGTTGAAAGGGAAACCAAAAATGAAGGTATTTGATAATCCTTGGTCACGCTATTGAAAGTATTTCTTTCCTTTCGTTACGAGCTGTAAACGTCAAATGAGCTCAGGAAAACAATTCAATGGACGAAAAGTGACCTCATAACGGATCAGTCACAGAACATGTCACGCGATATACTAAGGTGCAAGTTTACCATTTGTTTTTCTTCATCATTTCAGGATGAATAAACTGAAGGACTCTCACGATGATATAAATTTTCAGACCGAATACTTGGTCGACATCGCTAAGGATGCAAACTACGGATATGACTTGGACAACGCCCAACAGTTCCATGACTGGGAACATCACAAACATGAGGACATCCTCACTTACAGGGATCGAAGCCACACTTCG